CTCATTGCAACTGAAACAAGCAGTTCGATCCTGACATGGTGACCAATACATCTGGCCTTGTACCAAAAATCTAAGCTTATTGACAACTATGTGTACCTCAGGGACAGTTTAATCCTTCGCTAGTTAGTCTGACCACTAACACTGGGTGCCACATACTTGTGGTATTGTACCAAAAAGCTAAGCTTATGAAAGCAACTCTGGATTCCTCGGGATGGGATAATTATTAGCGATTTGGTTTCGCTATCCATTGTCATTGAACAGAATTAGATCCTAAATGGGTGCCCCATACTTGCGGCCTGTAGAGAAAATGATAACCTTATGAATAGACATTAAACCCAGGTTAATTCCGAGGCAGTAATTGTTATCGAAGTCTTCTCGTTGACTATTACGACTGAGCCGTATATTCTAGATCACCGAATACCCAACATCATTCTTGATCCAAAAGTAAGCCCAGCTTAGTAAATAAATCTTGTTATATTATTTATAATCGCCTTCTTTGTTGCTACTTTCACCTCGTTTTGAGCGTTGTGCACTCGGGGCTTCTTCTGAGTTTCGAACTGAATCCTTTATTCACTCTATATAAGGGGTTGCCTTTGCTCCTCTGTCCATGACTAGGCTTACCTTGTCTTGTAATTTTAAATAGTGTTCATTTATACGTCTTTTGTTTCCAGTGAGACTTAGTTTGTATTAACCACAACTTGTAATATTGAAGCCTTGCAGTCAATCTAGGCTTCTTTCGCCGCAATAATCTTTCTTAAGATATTTGCATGAAAAAAAAACTATAAATATTCGATACATGCTTTTCTGCTCAACAATGTTTTTAAAATTCATGTTGATGCAGCTACTGAAGCCATGTTTTCAGGCTAGACTTCCTGTACCAATGCTTTCGTTCTTTCTGACGATTTTTGCGTAAAAGATATATTAATATTCGAAACATGCCTTTCTGCTTAACGATTTTTAAAACATTCTGGATTCACTGAAAACGATGGGGGCCACCTTTAGCGGCATGTTGGCTCGTTTATTTTTAGAACTTCTAGATAGTGATTATTTTTAAAATTGCCACACAATTTTTCTCATATTAGATACATAGATAATTTTCTATTAATATACTGCCATGTTTTACCCGATCTTTTTAAATATAATAGCGTCGAACTCACAATAGATCTTGCCTTGAAATCGAAAATAACAAGAGTCTACTCTTCCTAGATATGCGAGAACCAATAATGAACTTCAGTTGGAGGTTTAAAGATAATTTACCAACAAGAAAGACCTCATTAATTGCTATTCTCAACGCTGTAACAGTAACATTTGTAATAATAATAGGACTGTATTTACGAGCACTAAGATTATGCAGCCTCCAATGTTTGCAAGAAGAAATTTATGTCGAAAACCCTTTACTTCTAAAAATTTCCAATATCTTCATTATGTTATCCTCATCGATGAGAGAAAGACATACAGAATATGCAGATAATAATAATAATAATGACAACAGCAAGCATAACAATGAAAATACACTAGATATAAACAGACATATCATAAAACCAACTAAATCCTTAAAATCTAAATCTATTATCCAAAACAAGTTATCCAATATAAACAATATCAAAATAATTATAACTACATCCGAAACTAATACGAATGTGATCGAAACCCAAAATATCCATAACACTAATAATTCTAAAGGAAGAATACCTAAAATAAACTGCCATAACTCTTCCTTACAGTATATTGGAGAAACTTGCAAAATTAAAAAGAAAAAACGTATCTATCAACATACAAAGATATACACAGCAAGTTCTTAAATGCATTTAAGTTAGTAATACATAAAAATAAATTCAACCACGATTTTAATTTTCAAGAATGCCGCATTTATTAAAAGAGAAAGTAAATTATTTAGACAATTTTCGTGAATGGCGCTATCGAATCAAAGCAAAATATAAATGAGCGCCTCGGATTTTTAAAAATATCTTCTTTCCTCAAAGTCAACATACGTGACTATAAATACGTTAAAAGTTTAAAAGAAAATGGTTGATATAAAAATTTTGTATTGTTTAAAATATATAATGCATGAATTAATCTCAAATAAAAATAAATATAAATAATAATCACATTATAAAAATCAACAATAAGCCTGAAGTATATTTATGAGCGTACTTAAATTTAAATATTCTCAAAAACTAACGTCATTTTTACTTCTGTTTGCAAATACTTATTGCAAAATAACATCATTATATTTACCTTCGTAAAGTTCATCAGAGGACAAAACGCTTTTAGGATAAAATACATTTTCATTTTGTTTTTATTCATATATATATATATATATATATATATATATATATATATATATATATATATATATATATATATATATCATGTTGTTTGTCTGTGTGTCTGTCGTAGGCGTTGTTACCTCGCCCAGGCCGCATATCTCACCCGATTTCGATGCGTTTTCACCACAAGTTCAAAAATGGCTGCCGTAAGGACATGACGTAGCCCTATTTTTGTGTTCGGACTCAGGCTCCAAAAAAAATCTGCTTACAGAAGGAATGATCTCATTACAACCAAATTTGACACCCTCTTAGAGTCTACCATTAGAAGTGTTGTCCAGGAGTTTCATGACCACGGACCCCTAAACAGCGCGGAAAATCGATAAAACCCACAAATCGATACGCCCAGATTGCGCCTGAAACGCATGTCCGTTTTTAGCGAATACCGACCGGATTAATGAGGAGGACATTGAGAATCACCATGTGAAGTTTCAACTCTGAGCGCCCCGACCCCAGACAGAGTGCGAATCGACAATCGGTCAACCCTTGAAAATGTTTTTTTCCGGTTGGGTATTTCCTAATTGCAGATTAATTTAAGGTCACGCTGTGCGCGGGAAGCAACAGGTCAGTGCGTGAAGTGGAGTGAAAGAAAACATTTGACATTCTGGAATGGCTGCAGGGTCATTGAAATTCGGCTTTTTTTATCCCTAATTCGAGGTCTGACTTTGAGCCACAAATGACACATTCGGCTTTGTCAACACTTTTGCTTTTATCGTCGCATCTTACCAAAATAAGCACTTCCTTTATTCGCGTCTTTACTGAAAAAAAACCTGCATACGTGCTGAGTGAAAATGGTTCCGCCCTCAGCAGTCCATTTTCCAATTCTTTAAACATTTTCCCCTAGCCCAGGCCGGATCCCAGAACTGACGAGGAGTTTTTTGCGCTAAAATAGCAGGGCTTCTTCCCAATCCATTTTAAAGCTAATGTCGGCAAACGGTTAACGGCTTTTCGTTGTCGCACAAACCAAACGAGCAAACGCTTCATTGCAGCTCCTTGCATTCTCATCGCCGGCATCACGTGCGTTAAAGCCAAGCTGCATATGCAGCAGACAGCTTGGCCCCGTTTAGGCCAAGCCTTGCGATTGCCAAATCATGCGCGCAACGCAATCTAATTTCAATTTCCGCTGCTAGAGCTCTAGAAGACGTACTGAAAGGCTTGAAAGGTTGCAGACTGTTAACCAGCGCCTCCATGCAGAGCGAGGGTTCTGTAGCCCACCAAAGCAGTTTTGGTTTAAGCTTGCGTTCAACTATTAGCTACTTTTGAGCCTTTTCGGTCGAGAAGACCTCCAAATAGGATCTCTGTCTGTGGGCATTGCAATGCCAAAAAATGGACTTGAGAGTCTGCAAGTTTGAGTTGTTCAGACGATAAAGTACAGTTACCACATTTTCATGAGCTAACTGCTCCGTTGAAAGCTCTGTTTGAGGGTTCCAGTCCAGACTACAGACATTTACTCGCAAAAATCAGACAGTAAAATTGTGCCTTCCAGATGAGCTCTTTTGGTGGTAATGCCTTTCGCGAAGTCGGTTGGAATCCCACCTTCAAGGTTCAAGGTCAGGTTTACCACAGGATTGTGTCTCTTTTGTCGGAAAAAATATACTTCATATCTGACTAAAATCAACAGGCAGATGTCCGCATGTGCATTATTCCCGAGAACGATACAGGCCAGGACAATCATCCTCGCAGGGATATCATAATGAGACTCCAACAAATGCTCCACGAGACAAACAGCTATGTCCGCAGTTTTAAGTATGCTCTCGAAAATATCACTACTTCTGATTTCATTATTGTAATTGATGCTGACAAACGGCCTCAGGGAGAGCACGAACGTCGTTACAAGTCCCGCAAGTAACGAAGTTTCCGTCATTGTCAGCGGTGATCAGCACAACAGACGTGACATTGTTATCGAATCACGCGGCAGTGGTCTCCGAAGAGTCAGTGAAACGCACCGGTCCTACGATGCATTGCAATACCCACTTCTCTTCCCTTATGGAGAAGATGGGTACAACTTTGGAATCCTGCAAAATAAGTCCACCATAAAAGCAGTGTCTTGCAGGGCTTTCTACGCCTACCTGATGGCACATGAGGGTGCATTCAATCATCTTCATCGAAGCCGGCAACTTTTTCATCAATTCATAGTAGACATGGATGCTAAGATGGAATCCGAAAGACTGTTATATCAGATGGAATCAGACGAAGTTGCGCTGCGTCTCTTGCATTCACCTCCGTTGTGCTTTACGAAATGACACTGATCCACGCAATATAGGCAAGATGTGCATACTACCTGCAACGTTCACAGGTAGTCCCAGAACGCGATGACATACGTTCGTAAGTACGGCCACCAGACCTATTCATAACTTTCAAGTGTAACCCATAATGGTACGCAATTACTAAAGAACTTATGCCAGGGCAATCGGCCTACGACCGTCCAGACCTCATTGCACGCGTTTACCATCTGACGTTGGGAAAGTTAATGGATGTGATAACAAAGGTCCAGTTTTTTTGGGTTGTTTGCCGTCGCATGCACACTATTGACTGGCAGAAACGCGGCCTGCCTCACGCACATATACTACTTTGTCTGTGCGACAAGATTGAGGCCACAGAAATCAACTTATTTCTGCTGAAGTTCCTGATCCGCAGACTGACCCTGAATTTTACGAAATAGTGACAACCAACATGATTCATGGTCCCAGCGGGTCGTTTTACAATTACGCCAGCTGTCGCAACAGCGACGGCAAATGCACACGGAAGTGCCCACGAGAGTTCGTGAGCGAAACCATTACAGGGAGCGATGGCCATCCACTGTACCAGCGAAGGAGTCTCGCTGAGGGAGGATTTACAGCCGCGGTAAAGAGCCACCAAGTGGATAACAGATGGATAGTGCCATAATGTCCCCTGCTAACAAAAGTGTTCAATGCGCACATCGATGTCGAATATTGCCATTCAGTTCGCTCCATCAAGTACGTATGCAAGTACATCAAGAAAGGGACTGATGCTGCAATATTTGGTATTAGGCAGGAAGGTTCCGTAGACGAAATCCAGGACTTCCTTGCAGGGCGCACATATTCAGCTTACCCATCCACAAACCCTTCCCAGAAATCGTCCAGCTTGCTGCGCACCTACAAAACGAGGAACTTCGTTATTTTTCTGTGAATACAACAGTGGATGTGGCTGAAACGAGCAATGACACAACGCTTAAAGCGTTCTTCAAACTTTGTCAACAGAACGAGTTTACTAGGACTTTACTGTACTACGATGTGCCTTCATTCTACGTGTTGACAATAAAAAACACCTGGGCTCGTCGAAATCGCTGGGCCAACGTCGAGGGCTATCCACGTGTCAAAAAAGACGCCACACTCGGTATGGTATTCACGGTTCCCCCATCACGACAGGAATGCTTTTACTTGCGACTCCTTTTGCACGAAGTTAGTGGTCCAACGATCTACAATAACTTACGGCTAATAGAGTTTTATATGACACTTTTCGTGAGGCCTGCCTCCGTCTCGGCCTTTTTGAAGACGAAAGCCACTAGGATGCCACAATGGTTGAGGGAGATCTTTTAAAAATGCCCTCTGCTTTGCGCCACCTCTACACCACAGTCTTACAAATGTGTCAACCCATTGATTCCAAATCACTTTGGGACAAATACAAGGACTTTTTGTCCGATGACATACTCAGAGACCGCAACTGCTGTGTCCAACAATGGCTCTTACATTCAACGATGAAATTTACAACAGGGCGCTTATAATCAATGAGAAACTGTCTGTTGAAATAGTGGGGGTGGAATCTCTCGCCGCTATTGGGCTTCCAACGACAGATCGTGTGGCTTTCTCCAGTCTCTTACCTGAGATTGTGCAGGATACATCCTACTCTGTTGAGGAGCTTAACGCCTATGTCACAACAAATGAGCCAAAAATTCTCATAAACCTAAGTCACATTTGCGATGCGGTTCTTGCATCCACCGGGCAGGATACATGATCAATTTTCTTCCTGGACGCGCCTGGGGGAACGGCAAAAATGTTCGTAACAAAACTGCTTCTTGCATAAATTCGGCGCCATGGCGAAGTGGTGCTAGCAGTAGACAAGCAATCAAGTCTAGCGGAGGTACTCAGGCGATGTAAACTCATCGTCTGGGATGAGTTCACTGTCAGTCCAAAACTGAACTTGAGGTTGTAAACCGCTCTCTGAAGGATATTCGAAACTCCGATGACCTTATGGGAAATATAACTGTCCTTCTCTCCGGTGACTTTCACCAGACCCTCCCCGTTGTACGCAAGGGGACAAGGGCCGACGCCATTCGAGCGTGCTTGAAATCGTCACACCTTTGCCCCACTGTTAGACCATTTCCCCTTACCACCATGCGTGCACACCTAACTGACGATGTTGGGTCCGCCGAATTTTCGAACGTATGCAACCAATCACTGAATGCAAAAAAGGGACGCATCTTTTGACCAAAAGACGGTGCTGCCGCTTCCACAATCAGCATCACAACGCGTGAGAAGTTAGATGTTGTTGCAACGTAATCGAGTAAAGTTTCTCCTCGAGAAGCTTCCTCAGTTTGACCATTCAAATCGAAGAGTAATAGGTCTTTTCAGTTCTGCAGTGGTGATTCAAATTCCGACATTTACGGCGTCAATTCGTAACGGACACAGATTTTAAATTTGGACTCAGGCTTTCAAAAAATTGGTAATTCTGCTAGTACTCCGGTATTTGGGCGGATTACATTCTAAAATTTCGGACGTTCTTTACAATTCAACCAGAAATTCCTACGCGGCCCAGTTAGAGGTGCCTTGCATAGAATGCCGTGTGACCCCGTCGTGACTCAAAAATCGATACAAACCTCCGTGTTTACAATGCCCTTAGCAGTCCATTTCCCACTTCTTTAAACTTTGTTCTTTCTCCCAGGCCGCAACCCAGATCCGAGTTTTCAATTTACATCATTGTGTCATGTCGGAGAACGATTTTTTATTTGGGACTCAAACTTTGTAAATATACCGATTAACTCACAAGTGATACGGATTTTGGGGGTTTTAAGTCGAATGTCTCGCCCGCACTACGCGGCCCGGTACATCTAAGCTTTTCACCTCATTTTGGACTCTTTTAAAAACTTTTGAGCTCTTTTTAGTTGAAATTATCGGATCAATGTATGGTTTCCAATGTACCGGGTTAACATAACAAGTGCAACAACAACCCCGCCCAAGTATTATGACCAGTCTCAATATTTCAGGAATTTGGGTTGGGTGTGAAAAAGTATTTGTTAACATTGTTTTTCATTCAGTTTTTCCAGTTACGAGTCCTTTTTTAAAGCTGCTCGTTTTGTGTTCATTTTGTGTAGTTCTTTTTTCGTAACAGATTTAATGTTTAGTATAGAGCTTAGTAAAAATTCGCAGTTTGAGAAAGTCAAGAAGTAAGGCATGTAGCAACATCTGCATGGCAAAGGGCACTATTTTAAATGCAAGGAAGGGCAAAAAATATTTAAGTCAAGTGATAGGGATTGGTGTATGAGTCGTGCGATTTTTGAATCAAGCACGGGCAACGCCGGGCCATGCTCCTAGTATATATATATATATATATATATATATATATATATATATATATGTGTGTGTGTGTGTGTGTGTGTGTGTGTGTGTTATGTATGTATATCAATAGATAGTTACAAATAGACATGAATAGATAATTACAGAAATCTTACCACTTTGATTAGTAAATTGATATAAATTCACTAAAATAGATTGATTGATAGATATGAAGCCACTGGGTCAGATGAGTTTATACATCGATAAATAAGATACTGAGCTTAACTAAAATAAAGCGAGATGTAAAGACGAAAACAATAAAGATGTATCATGGAATAGTTCAAAAACGGTTTTTGCACATTTTACTCGTAATAGGAATCCTAATCGTCGGCGGCATCTGATTTCGCCGTGAAAAACTGATTAACAAGAGTCTTGATTAGATTAGACCTATCTAATCGAATTGTTTCTAATTGGCCTTTCCCTGTCTTCAATTTAAATTTGTTTGCAGTCAGTTTTATTCTCTTTTGTGAGATATACTTCACCTCTTTTGACTTTTCTACTCTTCTCGAACTGGAAAAATTTTTTTCAGAAATTAATATTTACTTCAATCTGTTAAGTTTAAAATATGATGCGAGTGAACTTACTTCGCATTATTTACATGAAACATGGAGTTTTTGAATGCAGGCGGCTGGGAGCAAAATTATCTAACATTACAAATGTTACTTACTGTGCAAATGTACTGAAAAATATTCTGTAAAGTTGGTAACTTTTATTAATTTAATCCATTATTTTAATCATTTGACCCCAAACAAGGCAATAGCGCCATTAAGACGCAAGGGTTTACTGGGTGTGAAGTAATAGGAGAAAAACATTTATAAAGATAACGAGAAATGAACAGGTATAAAGAAGACAAAAGATAATTCTTGGCATTGCATTTAAATCTTTAAAGGTCAATATTCTAGAAAGCAAGAGACCGGAAGAGAGTTACTCAAACAATAATTTTAATTTTTAAAGAGAAAATGCTAAAATAATTGCCACTGTCAACTACTAATATAAACTTGCCGGAAGGTGGCTAAGAGTAAAATACAATGTCTCCTCAGGGCACCTATCCATGCGCGACGTAGCATTGCACATACCCTGATTATTATTATTATGTAAATACAGTTTAAATCATTACGGTCATGGACGAAAAGAAACAGTAAGCAACACACCAAACAGGAAGAAAATTATAAACCTCTACTGTTTAATAAACATGAAAGAATACAGGCTGGATGATAGGCAAAGCTATCTACTCCTATTAACTTAAATTTCGTATTGATATTTATGTCATTTTTAACAGAAATTATTGGAGAGATTTCTGAAGATATCTGTGTCCATTATCGAAAACCTGTTATATTTGTGTTTGGAAAGTTTATTAAACCTTAAGAAACTGTGTAGCGTGAGAAACCTTTTAGACAGAAAATCTACCAGGAATCTTTGGATCAAGAGGTTACAATAGAATATGCGCACTGTATTATCCGATAAGTGCATTTTAATGGTAATATTAATATTACCCGTTTTTTTTTATAAGGAATCATTCAGTTTTTTTGCTTGTTACCCAGTGGATTTAGTATGCCGCGACCTCCAAGCCTGTGTTTTATTCAAAATTTCTCTCAACTTTGCATTTCTTAAACAAAGGAGTAGAAAAATTGAGTGTTATAAGTTACAGGCATTTAAGAATGGGGTCTTATGGTGGTAAAACATTTCCCGCCAGGATTATTGACAGAATAAAGATATTATAGTCGGGATAATTTACGGGCCAATACTCCTAAAAAAACGTATGAATCCAACCCTTCTTCGCCAAACTGGGTCCGGTAACCTTGGTTGGCATTTAGATTACAGAAAGAAACAACAGCTTATTTGGAAAAAATCTTCTGCCAAGTCAGTCACGAATCGACATGAACATGATCCCGCAAGCGTGTAATAAAAAAAATGATGTATAACTAATATTTCACGCACCATTCATACAAATTAAAAAGAGAAAACCATATAATTACTACGCCCTGAGGAGATGAGAAAATATTTATTTCATCTGGAGGTTTTAAAATGCCTTTAAAGTTTACATCACCATATATATTTGATGAAAAACAAAAAGTTATAATTTATTTTTTTAGTAATCGGTTGGATATTAATCGTGGAACGTATTCGTCTTTCTACTTATTTTCAGTTCTAAAAATTATCGATTTTTTAATACAGTCTGAACTATTGCCAGTAGTTGATTACTTTGAAATATATATTTTATAGCTGATGGAATATTAGTTTCCTGTCCAATATTTTAATCCATCCATGTTATAAAGAGACTTTGTTCCAATACAGTCGTTGCTATATCTGTTTATCCCAAGTCAGCTTCCAAAAAGACATATTTCTACCCTTTGGTTGAGTTTAGAAATACACATGCAAGTAGACAAATCTGAACAATTATGGATTTATAGAAATTTTCTTATTTTACGAATTTAAATGCGAAAGAATTACACTATATGGGAAATACATGATAAAGCATTATAAATTTAATATGAAGGTAAGAATAAAAAGAAACAAAAAAAACATTTTAGGCCTTGTATACATTGATATGATACTGTAAAATATTTCGGTCTATAAGTGAAATGAATGTAAACGACATTAATATCAGTGGAGTTTTATTATCTATGTACAATGATTATTCGAACGACTGTTCTCTCCTTCGATATTAGTCCGCTCTATAGTTACGTCTTCTTTAAATGCTTGTTGAATACTTTACGACAAATAGTCCCATACACGTCGCTTCGCAAACTGTAATATGATGAAATTGCAGATCGAAATCGTTTGTTCATTTAAAATAATACATTCCGAATCTATCTTGCACAATTATAATTCGTCCGTAAAATGAATACTTCTTCCATATCTGGTCTGGTGCTCCGGCTATATGTCTCGAAATATCGAAAAAGAATGATCTGTAATATTATCGGTTCTGACATGGTATCTCGACAGCAAAAAAGTTTCCAGCCCCCCGTGACGTGCTTTCCTCCGACTTTATATATATATATATATATATATATATATATATATATATATATATATATATATATATATATATATTCATGGAAGTTGTTCTGGGACGTATGAATTTCTGCTTAATGGCTACTCAGTCTAACCGTTTTACTGCTTAAATAGCTAGATGCAACCATAAGTTCTATTTCAATAGTTTCTTTTCTCCCACCTGTCGCCCCTCACCTCTAGATATTTACTCCGATTCCTTGCTTCCCTAATTCTTCAAACATTTAAATGTAATGTCACTTGACATCTTATATATTCCTGAACCCGGTCATTTTATTTCTATTTCTCCACAATAATGTCTTCTCTTTCGCTTCCACTCCTAATAACACCTTGCCTCTGAGAGGCATTATCGCCTTGCTTGGAGTCAATTGATAAAAAGTGTTTAAATAGAGAAAGATTCATTAAAAGATATCATATCAAACGGGCGCACATTTCAATTTATATTCCTTTCCTGTTATCCAAAAGTTGTTTTCAGACAGAAAGGGAAATTTACACTCGTTACATTTAATTACATTTTATCGGGATTATAAGTACGTTTGCATTTGCGTATGTGCATTTTGTTTCCATGGCAGAAGTACAAATTAAAAAAAAAAATATGAAAGAATAATTTTATTTATTACTGCAAAAAATAATTTTATTTATTACTGCAAAAAATAATTTTATTTATTACTGAAAAAAATAATTTTATTTAATACGGAAAAAATAATTTCATTTATTATCTCATCTGATGCTTTTATGGTTTAAAAACTTAAGAGGCTTTTCGCTGAAAAATGATTTATGTTATTTTGTCTATCATTTCATTTGCGTCATATTTACCTGTATTCACTTTCTGAAGCCAATAATAGTTAGATTTAACTTAAATT